AGCAAGATTTGTTAGTCTGTGGTGTCGTTTATAATAAGTTTGTTCCTATAAATAGCCAACTTTAGGTACTAATTTCCTCGAGTTTTTGTTTCGTATAAAAAAATTATCATCCTTACGTGCAAAAGAGGAAAGGGGATTTTCCCACGATGAGACTCTCAATTCTACTTATGCTTTTTTGTATGCGTCACTTTTACATAAAACATGTCTAATTGGAATCTTAACTTTCTAGGAGTAATGTTATATGGATTTAAAAATTTAACTTAATAAATCTCGATCATTGAATAGATAGTGGGTTCCAATAAATACTGAGACCTGTAATAAAATCAATAGTCGTAATTATCAAGTCTATTTTTTAAATCCATATAGTATTGCTCACTTTTTATTAAACTAAAACATTTTTAGTGAGTTAAAATACTATCACATAGTGTCAAGTGATGTACATAATCAGGTCTATCAATCGTATTGGGTGAAATAAGTTTGTGTCAAAAAATACTCTATTCATAAATGATTTGTTTATTAATTTATGTCTAATAAGTTGTATCATATCGGATTCGTGTCGTGTATTAATCGTGTATAATCGAAATATAAATAAGTCGTGTCATGTATTTCTTGTGATTGATTTTACCCATATTCGATTCGTTTATTAAACATGTCAGGTCCACTCGTTTACGAAACAGGTAACTTAAAAAAAAACTCAGACACTTCAATTGTGTTAACGATTTGTGTCAAATTTTGACACCTCTATACATAACTATTAAAATATTATGTATAAAATAAAATTAATTTTTCAAAATAATAAAATAAAATAATGTTATGTGTCTGACAAAAGAGTTTTACATTAATTATGCATACTATTGGACTCTGTCAAATGTTGTGTTTAGCTACAATAAGGCTATGTGTACCTGGTCAGTCCGACTTACACAATAAAAAACAACTTCTGGAAGGAAGAATTTGGGTGGGGGTCGGGACCTCACGTGTTATATATGGCCATATATACATGCCACGTTTTGAAAATCCAGAGGTTGTTGTGGTGTAGTATTTCAGTGATGTCGGCCAAACATTATCTTTGACTTTTTTGTATTTTTATTTGTCGTTGATATTTTATTAATTGAGAAAATTTGGGTACATTTTCGTCATTATAAATTTTATAATTTTTTTTATAAATTTTAAAAATTATTTATAATTTTTATAATTATATGCTATCAGCATAAAAGTGATAACTTGGCTGACAAAAAATATAAATTAAATTTTTTAAGTTATAACATAATCTAAAAAAATTATAATTATTTTTTTGTAAATAAACCCAAAAAATTTGTATCAAAATTCACAAAATTGTAATATTTTCATTTATGGTACAAATTTTTTTTTAGGTACTGGAATCTTTTTCTTTTATCAATCTTATTATGATACCAAAAAAATATATTTTATCTCCGCTTTTTAAATTAATTACAACGCTTCATGTGTATATTTTTTATTTTATTAATATATATTAATATATTATTTTTTAAATCAGTAATTATAAATCATAACGGTGATTAATAAAAGAACGATACATATACTCCGCACAGACATAATTTCCAGCCGAAGATTCTGCAGCAACTATTGCAGGGACAGCATGCTGACACGCAACCTTATCATTTTGGGGACGTATTTACGTACACATTACTACGTCATTAATATGTATATGTAAGGAATAAAAAGACCGATAATCGAACCATCTCAAATGAATTTAAACCGAACTTAAAAAACTCGGGACTTGTTTGGTTTGTGTTTTAAAAAATAGTATTCGAAAATAATTTTTTAGAAGAGTTTTAAGAAAGTGGGTTTGATATTTTTTGAGATAAAAAACTTATTTTGTTAGATAATTTTAAAAACAATTTTATAATATAAAAAATAGTAAAACCTGTTTGGATAGGCTAAATATATATTTGAACGGTAATTCAAACATTAGTAAAAAAATATAAAAAATTATTTTTAGATTTGCAAATTCATAAAAAAAAAAAATTCAATAAACCAAATTTTAATATATATATATATATATATAAATACGTATACAAATTTATATATATACATATAAATAAATATATATATATATATATATTTCTTTATTTCTTTATATATATATATATATATTGTGTGTGTGTGTGTGTATATATATATATATATATATATATATATATATTATTCTCCTTATTTCTAAAATTTTCAAAGAAAACTATAAAAACAAAATACACTTGTTTTCTGTTTCTTTGACTTAAATCTCATTTTTTCCTAAAATTTAGAAAACAAAAATGCTAAACAAACAGGTTTTTGATGTTTTTAAAATTTTGAAAACAAAAAACTGTTTCTGAGATGATAACCAAATATGGTCTTAGTTTCTTAATAGAGTTTAAAAAATTATTCAAATTTAACTTGTATAAAAAATGTGACAAGCCTGAACTTATTCAAAATAAATCAAACTCAAGCTGAACCCGAGTAATTGCACATAAACGAGTCGAGTCTATCGGACTTATTTTTGAAATAAGCCTAAAAAATTGTTCAACTTCGATTCATTTAGAAAATCAATCGAACTTGAATGAGTTGAACTTAAACCGAGTTCAAGTAATTTGGTTTGATTAACAGCCCTAAAAAATAGTAATAATGCTTTAAATTATAAATAATCCTAAGGTTGTATGGTACCAGACGTAATGCTCTAACTTATGAGTAAGATTATTTTTTAAAGTACAATATATTAAAAAAATAATGACTATTTTTTTATCTTATTTGTGACTATTGTGTTTTTTCTCTTTATATCATAAAATGATAAGGCAAAAGAAAAAACAGCATTGTACCCAAAAATTACTTTGAATTGTGGGTAACAAACTGGTAGTCATGGTAATTGTGGTTGAGAGAGAGAGAGAGAGGAGGAGGAGGAGGAGGCTGGTGTGTTTGGAAATGAGGCTATCTTGTTTCAACGAAGATAACATCATCTTTTTCCGGTTACGTACCAGATTTTTTTTGTTCTAAGCGGAAACACTATGGGACCGTTGTGTAATTATTAAAATATTATTCGGTAGCATAAAAAAAAATCAAATTCAAATGTATGTAAGGGGAATTCAATATCATTCACCCTACACTGTAGAGTTGGCAATGGATCTGATTGGAGCTGTTTCTTTTAGGTGCAAAATAGAGGTTTGGAAAATAAAATGCAAAAATTAGAGTTAAAAAAGCTCTTGAAATCGATTGAAGTGTTTTCAAAAAAATCAACTTTTCGATTGAAGTGTTTTCAAAAAAATCAACTTTTCTTTGGAAACGATTGAATAAACCCATTTTTTTAAGCTTTTCCTCGGTGATGATAAAATCTATTTTTGCGCAAAAAATTGATGATCCAATAAGCTTTTGATTCCAGCAATTAGGTTTCATTTTATGCTCGTGAAGAAAAGAATGCTATTTTCTTTTTCTGTTTTTTAGGTAATCTTTCCAAGTGTTAATCATATTGGAATCACCTTTTCGAGTAAACATTAAAAATCTTTAATCACCAGTTAAATTATAAATATTGGTTCAACGCAAAAAAATATATATTAAGAATCGAATTGAATACATCTGAATTGATGGTTCTTCTCAACCTTACCCTTTACCATTTAATTATCCGAGTTCATTTTAGCCTGCTATTCTATTTGTTTAACGTCAATTAGTTACTAGAAGATTAGCTTGTCACCTAATCCGTGGACTTATTCGAAAGATCCAACTACAATATGCATGAATTTGATCTTGCAACCAGAGGTAACTTGATATTGATGCTTCTTTCCCTTTTTAGGCAAAGCAAAATCTAGCTTTTGTGGAAAGAAAAGTACCATTTGAAGTACACCACCAACTCATGGAATTGTAATATAGCAAGGCTATGGTTTTTTTAATACAACAATTCATCAAAATTTTTTTATCTCAAAATCATAAAATCAGTAGATCCGACAAACTTTTACTAACAATCCATCTAGATTATTAATTAAGAGACAGGATGAATTTGATTTCCTCTCACTTTATTGGTAGCTAATTAATAGTAATTTCTTAAGTAACGCTACCCACTCTTCCATGGATCGATCTCTCTCTCTATCTCTCACACACATTTCTCTTTCTGAATATTCTCTCTTGCAAGTTTGTCTCACCGCTCTCTCACATACCTATGACGAATATTATATCAAAAATGTTTCACTTGTATTTTACATGTGTCTTAAATTGCTGTTGCATTAAGTTAGACACGCATTAGAGAGGGACATGAGAGAGGATACATACAAATCAATAGTATTTACCATTGTTTCTTTACAACATGACCTAAGCCAAACCTCCAAACCGGCGTGGCATACATACAAAAGAAAAGAGCAATACTTTTTTCACCTAAAAAATTGATTTAATTTATTAACGTATTACCGATACAAAAGGTTGGAACCCCATGAAATGGGCATTGGCCACCCGAACTGACTCAACGAAGGTAGCCATGGAAATTCAAATGACAAACATTAAATTTTGATTGTCAATGATGTTCAGATTAATTTATGCATATTTCGATTAATTTTTTTTTTAATCTAGTTAAAAGCATATTATTTACGTAAAAATTAAGATATTCATGAAAAATAATTCTTTATGATATAATTTCAAAAAAAATTAAAATTTAAACTCAAAACGTCAGTCAACATATTACATTCATGTTGGCATAATGTTCCTCTACAGTACACACGCACCGAGAGAGACCAATTCAAGATCATCACGGCGCCGGAACAAGATCACTTCAATAATCTTTTTGCATGTATATATATATATATATGTCTCTCATCTTGCTCCATAGCTCTCACCCATCACTTCACCACAAAACTATAATGTGTTGATTCTCTCTCTCTCTCTCTCTCTCTAGTACTACGTTCAGTTTCATGTCCGCTTCACCTTAAGTGTCACATTTAGACTCACTGTCCCATAACCACCACCACACATACCCCTAACCCACCCACCATCTCTCTCCAGCTCCCTCAATGGACTGCTTAAAGAGCTGGCCAGAACCAATTGTCCGAGTGCAATCTTTATCAGACAGTGGAATACAAGTTCTCCCCGAACGCTACGTTAAACGGCCCGCCGATAGACCATCTTCATTGGACTTACCCACTGGCGAGATCAATATCCCCGTCATTGACCTCCAAAAGCTCTACTCCGACGACAATTCTATAGGTGAGACCACTCTCAATCTCATCTCCGACGCGTGCCGCCACTGGGGATTCTTCCAAGTGGTCAACCATGGCGTGAGCCATGAACTTATGACGCGCACACGCGAGGTGTGGCGCGCGTTCTTTCACTTGCCCATAGAAGACAAGCAAGTGTACGCCAACACGCCGGCGACATACGAGGGTTACGGTAGCCGGCTCGGAGTCCAAAAGGGTGCCACGTTGGATTGGAGTGACTATTTTTTTCTCAATTACCTTCCTCAGTCGATGAGGGATCAGAATAAGTGGCCTAGTCTTCCACCGTCGTGCAGGTAACCACGCGCCACCTCTGCATGTGGCAATGATAGTAAAGTAAATAGGACCATATGCAATGCTTATAGTATATTTGTGAGTTTTCTTTCTAATAATCTAGAAGCCAGAAAGGTTTGTCATTTGTTATTAATTATAAAATAATGTACCATCGTGCTAATAATGCTCCGTTTAATAGAAAAAATGAAAAAAGTAGTAGGATACACTTTTTATTCTTCAAGAATAGAAAGTAGGAATGCTAAACTTTTCTTCCTTTGTGTTTGGTTGGATGGGTGGAAAATAAAAATGACTAATTTTTTTTTTTAATTTTTTTTGTGCTGGTTAAGATTAAGGGTGACAATCGACTCATGTCGTGTCAGATTCGTATTGAGTCATAAAATTATGAATCTTTTTATATTTCTTGTTCGCGTGTCAAATCACTTTTAAGTTCGTATCAAGTTATAATCAAGTTCGTGTCATAAAATTTGTGTCGAGTTTGAGTTATGTCATCGTGTTGAGTCGAAAATTTTCACTCTTAATTAAGATGAATTTTTTTTTAATTTAAATTTTTTATTTTTTATTTTTTTTTATTTTTTTTATTTTTTTTGTTTTAATAAGATACATCTCAGCACAAATAATTAATTTTCTTTCCACTTTCCTTNTTTATTTTTTTTATTTTTTTTGTTTTAATAAGATACATCTCAGCACAAATAATTAATTTTCTTTCCACTTTCCTTCCAATATTGGAGAAATTGATATTTGTGAGTTTAAAGGAAAGTTAATTCATCCATTTTTCCATCTTTCTTATTTTCTATCCTGACCAAACATGATTTTATTTATCTCTCTAACTTTTCATCCTTCTATTTTTTCATCATATCAAACGGAACATAAGTCATAAGTCAAGTTCGATTTAAACTTACCTTATAAGAAACTTATTTAACGACTATTTGTATCTTAATGAAGTGAAATTTAAGCATATTTGTATGCTCATTAATTTATTGAGCTCAATTCGAACATAATTTAATAAACTTATTGCGATCTAAAGGTCGTATCAGAAGTCAAGCAATTTAAGTTTAACTTGAGATTTACTTAAAAGTGGAAATTGGGCTTATAAGATAATTGAGTCGAGCTTAAAATTATTAAAATTGCCAAAANCAATTTAAGTTTAACTTGAGATTTACTTAAAAGTGGAAATTGGGCTTATAAGATAATTGAGTCGAGCTTAAAATTATTAAAATTGCCAAAAAAAACCAAAGCCATCTATCACCCGATTTGATCCGAAACTTATAGATTTATTTATAATTATAAGGCTGGTAATGAGAACATAGGTTCCCTCCAACACGGTTGGCCAAACATCGTACATCTTTCCATCTTCTGCTGTACCATTTTGACGACAACAATATTCGTAAGTCGCCTTCGTTAGTCAACGTGCAAGTAGTATAGCTTATTTCCATGCAATACACGTGCAATATGTGTATTAATGGATTCAACTGTTGGAGTTTAATATGGTAACTTTTCGATACTATAGTATATATAGATTTCTAATCCTCAATTAAAATATGTAAAAAAAAATTATTTTATTTTATTTTAATTACTTTAATAATTAATGATTGTAATTTTTTTATATTTTTTTTAGGAGGGAGGGAGACAAAGGGGTTTGAACCCTTGACTTCAAGAAGACAAAGTATTCACAAAATAAAAAATACTATTGGATCAAAGATTATTTGGTAATTATAAATAACTCAAAAGGAAGATCTACGTTTAACAAATATATTTAGTATGATACCGAAAACAAGAATTTTGGTGCTATATAGATATTCTTCGATTGTGATACCAAAAAATTGTTTTCCAATTATAAATAATAAATTGCTGCAAAAAAATTTGAAAATCTGAATATAAATTCTTTTCCAGTAGGATACATAAATTTTTTTTTCAATACCATAGAGAAGAAGATTAATATTGGACAATTTGTTATGGTTCCAGGAAATTGGTGGCAGAGTACAACGAAGAACTGGTTAAACTTTGTGGGAGATTGATGAAGGTATTTTCAATAAACCTGGGATTAGGAGAGGACAATCTTCAGCAAGCTTTAGGAGGAGAGGAGATGGGTGCAACTTTAAGGGCAAACTTTTATCCAAAATGTCCACAACCAGACCTTACACTTGGTCTCTCTTCGCACTCGGACCCTGGTGCCGTGACCCTTCTCCTTCCTGATGAGAACGTGTCTGGTCTTCAAGTCCGTAGAGGCCATGATTGGATCACCGTTAAGCCAGTCCCTAATGCTNGGTGCCGTGACCCTTCTCCTTCCTGATGAGAACGTGTCTGGTCTTCAAGTCCGTAGAGGCCATGATTGGATCACCGTTAAGCCAGTCCCTAATGCTTTCATTGTCAACATTGGGGATCAAATACAGGTAACCCTCTCTCTCTCTCTCTCTCTCTCATGATTTCACCCACACTTCTCCCTACGTTGCTTTGAAAATAGACATAAGGATTGGAATATCACCCAATACAAATGAAACAAATTGAGATGAGCACCAGACTATTCGGGCTCTGTTTGTGATATGCTTTGAAGGTCTTATTGAAACTTAACTAGTCAAGCTTTTGCCCAAAATTTGACGCTTTAATATAGATATGTAGTAGTATTATATGTATAAGATATATATATATATATATACTAGTCATAACCCGTGTCTGAAGGCACGATAAAATATAAAATTCAAGCGTCCAAAAAATCAATCCCATTATATTAATTTTTTTCAAAATATATTAACTACAAATTAATCAAATATTAAATGATTAAATATATGATAGAAATGAGTGATGTTATATTTTTAGGAAAGAAATATATAAATGATTAAACATATGATAGAAATAAGTGATGCGATTTGACGTTTGAGTCTGACAAAATGATGATGGGTGAAGTAAGTGATTGGTGATTGTTTTGAGGAGGAAAATATGACTGGGACAAAATTCAAACACACTCATGTTTTATTATATAAATATATATGTCCATGCATTGATATATAAATATTTATGTGTGTGTGTGTATGAGTCTAATGAGCCCAACAATCCCTTTTTGGGGATCGGTTCATTCATTAAACAAGCTTACTCGAGTTTTTAATAAGTGAACAAACATAACGAGNGGATGACAGTAGACCAGACAAAAAGGGGTATTCACCCAAACCCATCCCATTTAGACTGGGAATAGACTATACGTATTAAACTATGGATATATACGGGGATACCTGTATAAATTCGTGCGGGGATAGAGGCCGGAATGGACTAAATCTCATCCTCGCCCTGCCTGCGCTCAGCCCATCACCGCCCCACTAAACTCGTGATATATATATATAATACATATATATAATATCACAAACCTTATCCACCCACACACTCTTCTCTTTAGCAAAAAAAAAAAATACTTTACTTTCTCTTTTTTTTTTTTTT